GCTATCACTGCCCCTACAGAGTTAGCATGGCTATCACTGCCCCTATATAGTTAGCATGGCTATCACTGCCCCTACAGAGTTAGCATGGCTATCACTGCCCCTATATAGTTAGCATGGCTATCACTGCCCCTACAGAGTTAGCATGGCTATCACTGCCCCTATATAGTTAGCATGGCTATCACTGCCCCTACAGAGTTAGCATGGCTATCACTGCCCCTACAGAGTTAGCATGGCTATCACTGCCCCTACATAGTTAGCATGGCTATTACTGCCCCTACAGAGTTAGCATGGCTAGCACTGCCCCTACATAGTTAGCATGGCAATCACTGCCCCTACAGAGTTAGCATGGCTATCACTGCTCCTATATAGTTAGCATGGCTATCACTGCCCCTACAGAGTTAGCATGGCTATCACTGCCCCTATATAGTTAACATGGCTATCACTGCCCCTAAAGAGTTAGCATGGCTATCACTGCCCCTATACAGTTAGCATGGCTATCACTGCCCCTACATAGTTAGCATGGCTGTCACTGCCCCTACAGAGTTAGCATGGCTATCACTGCCCCTACAGAGTTAGCATGGCTATCACTGCCCCTACATACTTAGCATGGCTATTATTGACTTTCAGGCAACATATTTATGTTGGTTTTTTTTGTAAGATTAAATAAAATGCCTAAGAATTTAATGCTCAAGTTCAAAAAATAAGTAAAACATTTTTTATTTTATAATCAGTTATTGTTAAACGTTTGGACAATCATCAATACTTCTGAGTGAGATGAGAATTTATGGTATGAGAAAATACCCAAAGGGGAACACAAGTCAAAATAGGCTGGGAAACACTGCCTTAAATGACTGCAGTGAATGTTTTTGTTCTCCGTTTCTTTGAGCCAAGAAGCTCCTGGATGCCTCCTAATCTGAACATAACATCCTTTAAATGCTGCATGAACCTCTTGTTACTTTTCCTAAAACAACAATCATCACCAAACAGCATCCATGAAACAGACATACCTCCTGTCTCAGTAGCTGGTTGTCGACTCTCAGACGCTCCAGAGCGCCGATATCGTCTCCCAGCTTCATGTTGCTCTGTCTCAGTTCTTTGATGTAATCACAGGCCTTTGACAGGATCCCCCCTTTACTCTGAAAAAAGGAACACCAAGTCAGTCCAAATGTCCCCCCCTCCCCTGTGGTTATAAGCCCAGTTGGCGCTGACCTGGCCTGTCTTGGTGTAGTCCACGTTACACTCTGGGATGGCCTTCGAAAGCTGAACGATCCAGTTGTTGATCTTGTCCCGGCGCCTTCGCTCAACTGGTGGAACATTTGATTTAGAAATAGATATTTCTGATGAAGGATGTTGGTAAAACAAGTTTAAAAAAACAGCTAACAAAGAGGACCAGAATCTTCAAAAACACTTTTAATCATAACATGAAGGTGCGCGAGGACTGCTTTAATGAATTATTTTTAGGATTTTATATATCAGGCATGCATGTAGGGCTGCAACTAGTGATTATTTAGCAAATCATCATTTGATTAATTGATTAATCATCAGATAGGAAAAGATTCCTTAAAGAAAACTTTTTACAAAATTAAACCAGGTGAAACTAAAACTTTTCCACGTGAGGAGTTTTGGACAGAGCAGATTGACAGGAGAAAAAAGGTTTATCTTAAAAACAAAATGTTTATGTTTATATATATTTTTTACAATCTTGGTATAATTCCTGCTCTAAGTGGGTCGCTCTGACAGCTAAAGGCATGTTTTAGAGTCTCTAAATTCCAGTTAACAATCGATTATTAATTTATTATTTCAATAATTATTAATCCAATTACTCATTTCAACCCTACATGCAATTAGATCTGGAACTAATATTTGATTTTGCTTTAGAAAAGAAAATATACAAAAATATAAATCATATATATATAAACAAAGGACTACTCAGACCCACGCCATTGTATGTGTAAAAATATCCACATATACAAATGTGGAATATATCAAACTCTGCAGAATCAGTAATAATAATATTGATAGTTATGGCGTGTTCACACTGAGCCTGATTTAACAACAATGTTGCCTACAGGTGCTGCCGCTTGCCTTAAAGGAGAAGTCAGAATTCAAACTTCTGAAAGTACTTTAAAATAAACATTATTACATACTGTTCAATATATAAT